TTCTATTCCTTTGGAGGGATGCAGTAAAAGTCAGAAGCAATACCTGCAGAGGCCTTTTTTTTGGTTGCTTTTGTTTTTTTTTTAGTTAAAAAGGGTACCCTGTGTTTTTCAAGCTATGTTTAGATTGAGCTAGTACATATGTAAATTGAAATGCCTTTATGTGAACTTCCAAGGGGGGGAGGAAACCCCAAACCTAAACAGACTGAAGAAAGGAAACAAATTGTTAGGAGAATGTCAGTAAATACTCAGATATCCTCACAATTTCTTTAACAATTGCACATTTGTAAAGCACAAGTTTGCATATTCCAAACACAACTTTAACTCTGTTCCTGAATCCATTCCCACTCTTACTCTGCAGACCAGAAAACCCCTACAAGCAGTAACTCTACATCAAATAAATCCTGAATGTGAATTACAACCATCACACAATATGGTTGTGTTGGAATATTTTTACTATTTAATAACAGACAAAGTGGGTATTTTATTTTGGAATCAAAGTGCTGTTGTGTGGATTTATGGTTTATAAGGTTGGCAGTGTTTCTGAGTACTTTCTTTTCCAAAGTACATAAATATAAAGTGGTAAAAGTTTTGTTTTTAGCTTATAAATGCAGTTAATCATGTGTTCAAACAATAAAAAATTCTATTTATTAATGGCCAAGAAATGTTGGGGGGTTTTGGTTTTTCTGTTTTACAAGAGACTCATTTAAGTCAACTGGATGAAATGAATAGTGAATATCACAGTGGTTTAGGGGGCACACCAGTCGATCATGTGGAAATTCAGTCATTAATCCATTAAAACCATGACTGCCTCTGAGTCTTATTTAAAGGTCGTAGTCTTTTTTAAGGGTTTCATTGGTGAGGGAAAGAACTATTCGTGTTTGTTCCATCCAGTGCATGCATGGATATGCACTCAACTGACTGGGGTGCTGAAGTATGTTCTCTGCTTGGAATTTGCAGCACTGAGCAGTGGGTGGGCATAACGTGCGAGAGCTCTTGTGGGCTACATGAGGATTTGTATTGATCGTTCTGTTCTTACATCCTGTTTTTTATCACGGTTACAATATATGCAAACACGTCAGGCAGTTAGACATGTGAAGACCTGGTTTTGCTTGATTATTTGACTTCCTGCAACAAATAATGAGATTTTTGAAAGATTTAGTGCTCTGCCATTGAATATAAAAGAGGATTGGAGGCCTGTATGTGCAATGGAGTTAGGTGTGGTAGATTAAATTTATCCTGGCATCCCTATTGAAGGCTCCCTGTAGGCACTATCAGCTGTAATTAGCCCTGTTGCCAGAAATAACATTACAGTGTCAGAAACATGGCTGTTTTAAGGGTATAGCCAGGGGACCTTAAGTGTTCAGTTATTGTCTGTTTAACTTTAATTAATAAAGCCTAACAAGATTTTCTTTCTTCACTGGGTTTTTGTTGAATTCTGTCATTTAAATTTTTTTTAATATTCTTCATAAACACTACTGGCATCCAAATTTCCTATAACTTCTTTGGAAAAAAGCTAAGTATCATTATGGCACACCAGAAATATCATGTGCATAATAATGGCCTAACCGGAAATAAATTCTCAGTAGAATTCAGAGGAGAGGAAAGAATACTTAGGATGTAACTGAGCTATTGTGTCAGTCAGTTTTAAGCCTACACTTTGAACAACATGTTCTCTTTCAGTTGCTAAAATTTCTTTTTCTGTTATCTTTTTCTTGCTAATAAGGATTGAAAATTATCAACAGCAGTTCTAAATTATGCACAGGCTATGACCATCGGATACAGCAATCATGATTCCTAGCCTAGGGGATTTGATTCTCAGAAAGATACAGGATATAAAATGAGTTTGAAGATCCTGTAAGTTCCTGTAAGAGTCCAGTTTTTTGCATTATTTACTAGCTCTTTCCCATAAGACTGTGAGAATAAGGCAAGTTAAAATCAGGACATACTTGACCTTTGTGGTACTGATTTCTCCTGCACTCAGAGGCTGGTTCATAGGCCTGGTTGCTGGACATTGTTCATTGAAGAGGTGACTTTGAGATCAGACTGGGTAAGTGTTACCGGGAAGGAGCAAGGGCATAAATCTAAAACTTAGTAGCCTGTATTATAAACACTTTAAAGGATTGCCCTGTTCAAAGCTTCAGTATGTGCTTCATTATGTCACTTAACCATCTATAAAAAATTAAGAATATATTTTATGTTACATTTGTTATCTTAAATAAGATCATGTATATCCATTTGAAGAATACACTTCTGGTTATTTTCAGAAAACAGAATTACAGGGATCAGTCAGAAAACAGGAACCAGCAGGTTTCCTGAATAGTTATAGGAACGATATTAATAAACAGATTATTAATGATAAAATAATTGTAAAACTTGCAAATGCATTGTAATTTGTGCCACAATTCACCACTTGATTTCACAGTGGTTTATAAACCACTTCCTCATGCAGGTTTCTGTACACATTACTGTGCTGCATTGCCTGTGTTACAAATACTACTCATAATGTTTTCCATCTCTTTCCTTCAGAACATGGACACTAGCACTAAAGCCTTAGGTTTAGCTGTAGAAAAAGATTTTTCAATCTAATGGAATCTTACCCTGTCACTTTCAATCTTTCCTGTGGAAGCTAAATTTCTTTCTCTTGCTTCCTTTTATGTTCGAAACTTAAATAATTTATTACTGCAAAGGAATGTGCACTGATTCCAGTAACCAACAGAGGATGTGGAAAGATTTATTGGGAGAAACATTAAGAGAATTCCTGGCCAGGTGTATTTTTTTTCTTTTTTTGTGAAATGGGAAAAAAAACCCACACCTCCAGCCAACTTCAGATATGGCTGGAAGCCCATCTGGAAAACTGTGTCTGGAGTTGTGAAGTGCTTCTGGAGACAAACAGAACAAAAAGCAGTGAGGGGCGTCAAGAGGTTGGCACTGCTGTATACTGAGAAATGTGTTGCTGGATCTTGAAAGTGACTGTGGTGTTTGCCTTCTGAGTGGGTGTATGCACAGCTTCTGCTCTCCCTGTACATTATTCAGCCACCTATACCCCTGGGAAATGATGACCTGAACTGCCTGCCAAACTGGCATAGTGGATTCTGAGTTCCTCTTTGCACCCTCGATCCATAACAAAAGATTCTGGAGGAGCAGGACCTCTGAGTACGCTTCTGCACTCCTTGCTTAGGTGAATGGGAGGTGCCACTCAGTAAACAGCAAGACACGGCTGTGGTGAACATTTTTACTCTTAAGACATTTTTTTACACCACTAGTAAATAATTTTACCACGTGTTAGAATATATAGCATTTATTTGTGAAGACTGTAATCTTTTGGGGGTTCGCAATTTGTAACAGTTTAATTATCTGATCATTTTAGGATAGAAATCTAGTCACATGCAAATAGCATTTTTCCAGGCATAATAAGAGTCATGTATAGACTAGCTCTTTCTAATTCTATCAGTTTACCTCTCTAGCATTTTTCCTGTTATTTACATAAAGCAAGAAGTTAATGAGAGCATTCTAAAATATAATGCTACATTTTAGAGTGTTCCAGGGATACTTCTCCCCTGTCAGTTTTTCCCTCAACCCCAAATTCTTAGTCTCTGGTTCCTCTCTACACTAGCTGACAAGGCAGGTCCCCTCAGCAGAAGACTTACTCCATGAGAAGCAGTGATTAACATTATGGTATTTTATAAACTGTTGAAACCATTTCCTCTGTCTCCATTAATCCGAGTGTCTTGAACATGTCATCTACAAATTCCTTCTAGATGCAGCAGCTTAGAAAAGTAGCGGTGACATGATAAAGAATCAAACTGCTCCATCAGCCTGCCCCAGGCAGGAAGCTGTACCTGCATCTCGTCTTTTGAGTACACAGGTCTTGGGTTGCAGCACCCTAGTGATGGAGTTTCCTTGGTCTGTTCAATACTCTGGTCCATGGTATACTGGTTCTTACTGTTAAAACACTTTCCTGACTTCTCATATCCCAGTTTAAGTTCCCTAAAACCTATTGCTTCCAATTTTATCCGTTATGGATACAGAGAACAGATCTTGCTTTCTCTTTGTAGCTCCCATTTGTATTTGAAAATCTTCTAGGTTCTCCCTAGAGTTTTATAGATCTTTGTTTTTCTCTGTTGCCTCACAGAAACTTTTTTTCTCTGTCTGTGCCTGGCTACACCTAGTGATATTTTCCCAGTTCACAAATGAAAATGTTACTGGTAGCAAGAGGCCAACCTTTTATAGTCAATACAATTAGGAAAACTTGGCATTTAGACAAAGGACTCTTTCAAATGTAAGCTGGAGCTCTCAGTTAGAAGCATGGAATCAAAGTCTCATTTTATTACTTCTTCCTCTATTGGTCTCTACATTTGCCTATCAAAGCCAGACAACTTTTTAAAGTTATTTGATACAAAGATCAGTCTAAACTCCTGATGCCCCCGTGCTTAAATGCTACTGTGAGTTTAAGTAGTTTGTAGAATACAGTTGGCATAGTAGGTGCTTACAGGTCTTCAGCTATGCTACTCAAGTCCTCAAATCTTGTGCCAATGTTTTCAAACCCAACATTTTCACTGCCTTTCGGATTTTAAAAATCAGTCAGTAAGCAAGTGAAACGCTTCTGTTTTGGTGGTCTCTAGACATATGACATTAATTCTAGTAGTTAAAATATATTCTTTGTACAAAAAAATAAATTTGATTTTTAAGTCATCATGGAGATTGGAAAATGGATATTACTATGAAATTGTGTTTCCTTAAAATATAAGTTTTAAAAGTTCTTCTGATAAGTGCAAAGAAATGTGTTTTGGTTTGTTTTGTTTTCAACAGTCGTGGTAATTTTGCACACTTGGAAACTGATTTTAAATATT